CTTGGGCCAGTCACAGTTCTCTCAAAGCTCTCTCAGCCACACATACCTCACAGGCAATGCTCCCTCTAAGCTGTGGAGTCTTGTGAGCAAAAATTCTACTTTGTGAGCTACTGGCACTAAAGTTGTGAGCGAGCAATTTGGCTACTGCGTAAATTAATTTGCTCTGGAGCCATCCTTCCTAAGTGAAGACAAAAAGGTGTGAGCCAAAGGCTAAAAAACTGTGGGCTGGCTCACACTAACTCAGCTTAGAGGGAACACTGCTCACAGGGTGTCTGCTGTGGGGATGGGAAGGTGATTGTAAGCCACTCTGAGACTCAGAGTGAAGAGCGGGATATAAATCCAACTCTTATTCTACTCTCAGGTTTGGTGATTGCTGAAGGGGTAGTTGTGCTAGTCTTTAAGGTTTCACTGGAGTTGACTAATGTTTATTTCAGCATGAACTCCGAGCAATGAAAGCTGATGCTGAAGTTAACGGTACTTTAGGGAACCCTTCTCCCCCATCCACCCTGTTGCCCGTCTGTGCAGTAAATGCCAGATCTAGATTCCGATGGAACCCTTAGCAAGATACTGCCCCCAGGTGCCTTTACCCTCTTACCTGAATAAGAAGGCAGGCAGTGGCTGCCGCTGTTCCTTATTGCCCTTTACCTGGGCCAAGGTAAACAAGCAGAAGCAGTGCTCGTTTCCACCTGGTCTCCCTCTGAGCAGCATGGAGAATCAGACAGTGCGTTCTGAATCCTCTACCGAAATTAACCAACCTGAGAGTCACCGTCAGCCCAGGGGACTTTCCTCTGGGAACCAGCCATAAAGGAGGCTTTGCTGGTGGGAGTCCAGAGGTGAGCTTTTTCTGCTGCTGCCTGCTCCGACTGCAGAAGCCCCTCTTTCAGAAGCCAAGAACAGCTACTTCCTTAAAAGCCATGCAGATGGGTATGAAGACCTGTCTTTTCTGGAGGACTTGACTTGATTTATATCTCACCTTCTCTCCCTGGTGGGGAGCCCAATGCTGCTTATATCCCACTCCTCTCCATTTTATCTTCACAACCACGTGGTGAGGTAGGTTAAGCTGAAACCAAACCATGAGACCGACCCAAGATCACCCAGTGTGTGTGTGTGTTCAAACCTCGGTCTTCCAGATCCTACTCCAACACTCTAGTCACTACACCACCATGCTTCCAAAAAGCATTCTGTGCAATACTGAGTAATGGCACTGCGAAGTGGAAGTGGAAACTGACATCTGGATTTGCTGTTAGGTGGGTGTTTTTGAAACAGCTTCCCTTTTGATTTTATTCTATTTACTGAGAATTTGCTGCAAACCACCTCCAGGGGCTTTTCTGGTCAAAAGATGGGTCTGTAAACAATAAAACAGAAACTCTTCCTGGAGGAGAGGCAGACAGCTGCAGATTCCATTTCTGCTAATGCACGGGGAATTGGAAAGCCCCAAAGCCCCATTTACTCAAAAGGAAGGAGAGCTGCTGAGCAAAGGAAGGAGCAGGAACCTCAACAAGGCTGCTGAGCCAGCAGGAAAGCTGCCCAAGTCAGTCACAACAGAAGCTTCAGGAAAGCACCAAGAAGTTGGTCGGAAAACACACTCTCACCAGCGGCTTTCAAGCAGCAGCTGACTTTTAGATCCAGCTTTCCACCTGCTACCCTGCAGGGGGCGCCAGGAAACAATGAACTTGAACATAAGAACATAAGATGTTGGATCAGGCGAAAGGCCCATCTAGTCCAACACTCTGTGTCACACAGTGGCCAGAAATACCAGGTGCCATCAGGAGGTCCACCAGTGGGGACAGGACATTAGAAGCCCTCCCACTGTTGACCCCCCCAAGCACCAAGAAGACAGAGCATCACTTGCCCCAGAGCCCCTATCTATACCTTGTGGCGAATAATTGAAAATTTAGTAGGACTCTCCAGTTTTAGGGAGATCTAGCCATTGTCCTCAAGAGGCACATTTACAAACTTGAAAGGAGAAGCAAAGTGCTGCTGACACTTCAGAGGGGGAAGGAGGTTAGCTATCCCAAAGACTGGATTTCTCATGGGGGCACTGCAGGATTTAACACGAGTCGCTGCGGACACTTGCTCCCCCAACTAGGAAGCAGTGGCCCTGATTGCACAGATGTTGTGTGTACTGAATTCATGAATGCAACATAGATGCCGGCCCCAGGAAAGCCCAATGCGATACCAGCCAGTGTGGGATGAAAGTCCTGCTCAGAGTACCATTTCCGCACAGAAGCGTGAGCCAGGTCAGTACGACATCATGAAGACGGATGACATGCATCTTTTTTTTTAATTTTCACCCCGAGAAGGGTATTACAATGAGATTCTTCTAAGAGGGAACTTCACCGCTGGAACCTCTGCCAACGTTTCCCAAACACATTCCAGCAGGAAGTGCTGAGGATCAGGGCCCCCACCCCAAAGTCTTTAAAACACACGCGATCACCTGAAGCCATCCAGGTGTGGTGTTTAGAAAGTCTTCTGCACAGTCTGAGCCTTGTGCAAGGCCATCAGGATCCTCTTCCCTTTTCTCTTCGGCTGACGAGACACGACAGGAATTATTTCTCAGACTTCAGGAGAACTTCCCGGCTTGAGGCGGTGGGCCGAGGAATCCCCCCGCCTGCTTGGTGGCGGCTCGGGAAGGAGCCAAGCCCAGCAGCTTCTGGATGTTCTGTCAAGAAGCAGACATATGAGAAGTGAGCGCGCTGCTTGGTGCGATTAGACAACGGCTATGTCAAAAATACCATGCCACGAAAAGTCTGCCTAGAAAGCAGAGGTGTAGTCCACCTTACCCATAACTGCTTGAGAGGAAATCAAAACAATTCAATTGGCTTTATTTATGCAAGGAGGAGGCAGAATGCAGCAAGATCAATGAACGCTGCAAATGCAGAAGTCAACAGGAAGGGATTGTCCCAAATATGCCCACATTGGGAGGTTTCACAGCAGCTGAATTAAGCCCCAACTCAGTTCCCACTGGAGGAACAGCAGTGTCAGGGGGAGGCATTGGCCATTTTAGCCTTCCCTGGCCAAAATGACCAAGAGTTTTGTGCCACCTTAAAAGAGCAGTTTATTGTGATGTAAGTTTAGGCAGAGCCCACCTTCCATCAGATGCACAAAGCGTTACATTCATTCAGCAGTGCCAGGCATCGCCCCATGGATGCTAGAACTCACAGAACAGAGCCGAATGTCAAGAAACAAACGCACAATTCTCTGTTTGCCTCACAGGATGAAAAATGAGACTAAAATAAGACCCCCTGTCTCCCGCAATACATGCTCCTGATCTCCACAGGAGGACAGAATAAAAAGCTGGTAAATTGATGATCAATTTGTTAATAAAGAGGAGCTTGGATCCAACAGAGCATTTCTATGGATGGCTTTCTTGCGTCCCCTCTGCTGATGCAGCCAAAAAGCCCACATCCATGCTGCTCCTACCTAGAGGCCATGAAAACTGGGAGACTGAACTCTGGCCCTGGTACTAGAGAGGCCTGGATCCACACAGCTTCTTCTCCCCTCCCAGAGATGATCTTGTACGAAGCATCTGCCCTTAACTCTGGGCCGGTAACAGTTTTCGCCAGCAGCACAAGCCCACGATAAGTGCCAGTGCCTTGCTTGTCGTGAGATGAAAATTAATTAATTAATTAATTCATAATTAGCAAAGTCAGAGAAAAAGTGAAGAAGGCCATGAAAACCGGGAGACTGAACTCTGGCCCTGGTACTAGAGAGGCCTGGATCCACACAGCTTCGTCTCCCCTCCCAGAGATGATCTTGTACGAAGCATCTGCCCTTAACTCTGGGCCGGTAATAGTTTTCGCCAGCAGCACAAGCCCATAAGTGCCAGTGCCCTGCTTGTCCTGAGATGAAAATTCATTCATTCATAATTAGCAAAGCCAGAGAAAAAGTGAAGAGCTTGCTAAGGAATGTACAGGGGTGGGTAGCAGGGCAGCAAGCCACTTTCTCCCTGATGCTCATTTGCGAGAGAAGGGGCTTTGCTCAAGATCACCCAAGAGCAGTCCATGAGCTTGGCTTTTTGGGATTTGCATTTGGACTGGTATGGCTGTCAACAGCTTCTTCAAGATCATCCGGTCCCTTCTGTTAAGGGGGGGGAAGGGGGATCACCCCGAGAGCCAAGTTGTTTTTAATCAAGAAGGCTGATGCATGCAACATCTGGCAGCAAGCCACTTTCTCCCTGATGCTCATTTGCGAGAGAAGGGGCTTTGCTCAAGATCACCCAAGAACACAGTCCATGAGCTTGGCTTTTTGGGATTTGCATTTGGACTGGTATGGCTGTCAACAGCTTCTTCAAGATCATCTGGTCCTTTCTGTTAAGGGGGGGAAGGGGGATCACCCTGAGAGCCGTTGTTTTTAATCAAGAAGGCTGGTGCCCAGGGTGGGGGAAGGAGAGAGAGAGAGAGAGATAAAAAACGGGAGCGGATGTGCATCTTTCACACCCAGCACAGATGTTAAGTCAACTTTCCCAGCCACTTCAGGGCTCCCGTGCAGCACTTCACACCCTCAACAGGAAGGCAGGAAGAGCTCAGAGATGGGACTGACGCGCGAGGGGGAGATGGAAACGGCACAGAGGAAGTTGCTCCGCCGTAGGGGAGATTATTTCAGGCCACATCAGCCTTGGGTCAGAAGCAAGTGGAATTCTAGCCAAAGCCCTGAGCGTTTCCTCTACCTCAGAACATCCAAGGCCAAAGCAGCCAAGAGCAGCAGGGCTCATTTGTCAAAGGTCACCAGGGGCCATGGCTTCCAACACCCTTCCCGAAGCATTCTCCTTGCAAACACACTCTCAAGGACAACAGTCTTATTTTGCTACCTTTGCCCTCCTAGGTGTTCTCGCTGGTCCAGGCTCTTTCTGAGCATTACACAGCCTCGCATCTGTTTCCCAGCCACATCCACAGATTGCTTCCCATAAGCTAACTGCACCTCATTGACCTCTTCCTTTTCTTGAAGGAAAGAGAGACACGTGATCCGCCGTTAACCTGCCAGCAGCTTTCCAGCTTCGGAAAGACAACAAATTCCTGCCACCAGCTGAACGGAAGCAAGTGCTGGGACAAGTCTTATGCAGAACACTGCTGGATCTCTCCGATCTGAAAAAAGCCCATAATAAATGCATCGACAGCCATCAACACTACATCCACTGGTGTATAGTCTTAGCGTGATGCAGAACTAACCCACTCCTACAGGGCAAAGGAAAGGGAATACTTGAATGCCCTACATTGCCCTTAGGTTATGGGATAGACAAGCCTAGAAATTTAAATCTGAGCCTTCTGCAGTTGTATCAACTTGTGTTGCTGTTAATAAAGGTATTATTTTACCAAAGGAGGAAACTCTCTGGGCAGAGATGTTTCTAAAGCCATGTGGCCTACTTCTCAGCTGAGTGATGGATCCTGTACATCCCACGTCATCCTAGTTCCAAATCTCCCTGCTACCCTTCACTTAGGACCTAACAAAGCTGCAGTTTTAACACTGCAAAAATGGTCTCGTCGTATACTGGGCTCAGGCTATTTGAGTCTCACACCCATGAACAAGGGGGGGGGGTGTTTCCAGGCATCACTGAGTTTCCACCCTCCAGGGACTTTTGGTCCCTATTAGCAGCTCCAGTTCGCCTCTCTCACTTAGTTATCTGCCAAATGAAAAGTCAGCCACATGGCAACAAGCCAGCACTTTGACCCATGCTTTGCCTTCACACGCCCATGCATCAGAGGCTGAAACACTGGGTCACTTCAGGGACCGCCTGAGTGGCTGTGGCTCAGTGGAAGAGCCTCTGCTTTACATGCACAAGGTCCCGGGTTCAATACCCAGCATCTCCCATTAAAAAGGACCAGACACTAGGTGATCTGAAAGACCTCTGCCTGAGACCCTGGAGAGACTGACCTTGAAGGACCAGTGGTCTGATTCAGTATAAAGCAGCTTCATGTCTTCACACGACAAACTGTCCACTGAGCTGCCTTAGAACAGGAAGAACAAGCCAGGCCAGTTTGTAAGCTCCAGCTGATAAAGCTAGAGTAGCACAAGTTATGTGTCAGAGACCCTTCGATCAGCCTGCCTGGCCCAACTGCTCCGTCAGAAGCTAGTTCCTCAGCAGTAGAAGGAGCACGATACCATGAGGTGCCCTGCCACCACGGGTGGATTTAAATGCAATGCTTGCCACCTCAGGTATGTTCCCCCCCAAATAAATAAATAAGTGGGATTACAAATATAGTAATTATGTACAGTGAGATCTTGGTTAACTGGCACTGGGGATAATGGCCTTTCACATACTGGGTTAGCCACCAACCCCAATTCCGTGTGTGTGTGTGTGTGAGAGAGAGAGTTAACAAAGCTTCTACTGTAATATACAACCTACGGGCAAAGAAGCAAGAGGCAAACGCAGACTTTACATTCACTCAGCATTTGGAATGACCATTTATTACATCTGCATTAGAGTCAGGTTTTTATTTAAAGCCAGACTATTTTAAAATGAAAATATGACTGTACTAATAATTTAAAGAACAAACTATTTTTTTTAAAAAAACCATCCTGTGACAGAGCCTCTCCTGACCCACCCCGGTCCCTGTGCCAGAAGTTTAGTTCATGCGTGTCTTCCTTCCTCTGGCGATCTGTTTGGAACTCCTTGGCACGCAGGTGGGAAAGGCTTCAGAGGTCTGCATAGGTGGATGGGCTACAGCACAAACGGCCCACGGAATAATCTGAGTTGAACATGGGATTACCCTCTGCAAGTAGCTCAAGCAGCACTCGACACCACACAGTACCCAAACTTCATCGGTAGGAGTTCAAGCAACAACTTCTTGAGCCAGGTGATGAGAACAATGAGGTCGCAGACCTAGGGTTAGTTTGCACTGAGACCCAGGCTTCCCATCGGAACACACAGAGCAGCAAAGCAGGCTTGATGACATCTCCTGAATCTCGGCAGCATTACCAAAGTAGTACTGATCCTGGTGTGCAGGCAGTAAACTCGATTTAGGGTTCCGTAAACCAGCCTCACATTATGAGCCATCAAACATAACAGACGCATGCAAGAAGCATACTTGTTGGTTCCTTTCTTTTACTCCCCTCTCCTGAATTTTCAGGCCACTGGACTAACTCATGCACAATCACTTCGAGGTGGTTCTGATGCCAGAGGGTGGCCGCCAACATACATGGCAACGTTTACACAACCCTCGCAGAAATAATCCAGCTGTTTTGCTTGGGGGAATGGCTGATTCTCAAAAAGAGGGCCATAAAGAGGGACAAAATCCTGAATGGCATAGAAGTATATCGCAGAGGATGCACATTTGCATCTAACGGCTAGCCTCTCTGCAACACCTCTGTTATGCGAAGCCATTAAACTGTTCCAAGCAATGCAGAATGACGTATACGCTGATCACAGCATTCCCATTCATAGCCATCTCCTTTTTGAGTTGGAGATCCCTAATCCTTTAAGCATTTCTTTGTGAAAAGCAAAAGAGAAGCAGAACCAGCACTGTAATTTCTGCCTGGTTTCAGCTTCGCTTTTAGATTTCTACAATCCTGGTGGAGGTGGAAACTGCCATCAGGTTACAGTTGAGTTTTGGTGTAGGGTTTTCAAGGCAAGAGGCGTTCAGAGGCGGTTTGCCATTGCCTGCTTCTGTGCAGTGACCCTGGTATTCCCTGGAGGTCTCCCATCCAAATATTGGCCAGGGCTGACCCTGCTTAGCTCCCGAGATCTGACGACATCAGGCTAGGCTGGGCCATCCAGTTCAGGGCTCTATCATCCCAACTCCGTTGAATTGCTTCTTGGATCTCCCATCCCGTTGAATTTGCTAACTTACACTGTGCAATCCTCCCTGAGCCTCAGTGAGAAAGGCAAGTTATAAACAACGTAAATAAAGAAATGTGGCGGCAAGTGTAGGAGGTGGGAAAGGAGGCTGTGGAGAACAGAGCAGAAACTCAGAGGTGGACAGACACGAAAAGGGAGGGGAGGGAGAGAAGGAGAGGATGGCAGTTAATGAGAGCAGCCATACCCGCACCCCCCCCAAAAAAAATTTTTTAGAGATCCAAATAGGGACGTCCCTGCACATCAATGCCAGGGAGAGCCCAGCAGCTTGAGAGTGGAGGGGAAATTGAGGAAGCAAAAGGACAGGAGAGAGAGAAAGAGGTGAAGATCTGCAGAAGATGGCTTCTTTCATAGTGTTACGGGAGAAGCGCAACTTTGCCTCTTCTGATATGTTGAGATTAAGCAGCAGCATGCCCTGGAGGAGCACATGCAAAGAACACCCACCAGATTATTAACGAGTGGTTGAAACCACATTTAGAGAAGGGCTTATAAGGTAATTAAATATCCCCCATACATATAAGCACCTTCGATTTAAACGCTAAAAAAACAACCTCCATCTCTCTGTGAAACCCGTACATGCATTCTGTTCTTGCTCCGCATGGAAATCCAGTCCGGGCTTTGTCCTCATGCCTTCCACGGCAGGGGATCTCCACAAGCCTCCTCTCCCTCCAATGTCATACCACTTTTCTCGTCTTACCTCACAGGGTCATTGTGAAAGTAATGCGGGGGAAGGAGAATCACACTTGCCCCCCTGTGTTTCTTGCAAGGAGGACAGGATAAACACATGCTAGATGCATTAGGAATTATGGGAAAGGATGCCTGTGATTACAGGCCGAGTCCAGGAATTTCCGAGTCCTATTCCGTGCACACAAAAGGCAGGCTTCACCCTGTTCTTCCCACCCTTTTATCTCACTTCATTCCAAGCAGACCACTAAAGCAAGCCTTTTTTTTTGGGGGGGGGGGGTCATTTACTAGCCCTGGGAACTAAGCAGGATATTGTTGAATTGTAACTCGGAAATTGTGGTGTGGGGGGGGGGGGGGGGCTCTGTAGCTGCAGCTTCTAGGGGGAAGCTAGGGAAAACATGGCCAGCTTATGGCCAACACTTAGCAGAAGCAAAGGCTTTAGGGACTGACCACTCACGACTCAGTACTTACTTGTCGAATAGACATGGTGCACAGAATGTAGAGGAAGATAAAGGAGCAATCCGTGTAATCCTCACCCAGGAGATTACGGTGGGACAAGCCCTGGATGTAGGACAGGGGTACGAAGGGGAGCTTGGCAACCACACGGCCGTCAAATCTGGGAAAGGCAAACAGAAACACATTTGGGTTATTTGTGCAACAAACGGCCCAGCACTCAGCAGACCAGGGCAGCAGTAAAAGGTTCAGCCTTTGACTGCCCAGAGAGGATTCAATTTAGGCCAAAGCATGAAATCACGAGAACACTTCTTGATCTCTAATTCCTCGGGGCACTGAAGTTACATGCCACAGTTTGGACACCATAGCAGCCATCTTTCTGTCAATGAAGAAAGAATGGACGAACTTCCCCGGAGTTACCACTCGTTTCGAATTTTTCTTTTTCATACATAAGATCTCAGCTCTGCATCCGCATAATCACAAGGTTTCCAAATTGGACTCTTTCTAGTTCCTAAATGCTTCAAAAGTAGCTCACATCAGGCTCTTAGCCAATATATCTAACCCGGGCTGATTATTATTGTCATACTGCTACCCCCTCTATCTATTGAACTACAAGTCAGGTCAGCAGAGTCCCTAAGGAAGTAAGCAAATGCCAAGAGGGGGAAAATGTACCCACCAAAGCCATAGGAGAGTCAGCAACGAGCGTTTTAAGAACCATAGAAGGCTCCCGGCCAATTTACATCGTTCATTTAAAACCAAGAACTTTCTGCACCCATCCAAGACACTGGCGATTCCACTAAGTTTAAAGGCCTATTCCTGGTTTCTAAACACAGGGCAGGGCAGAGGTGCTCCATTAATTACCAGAGCTACCATCTAAGGCACATCCTGCGGAGAACCCTGCTGGATTAGACCAGCGGTCCATCTAGTCCAGCATCAGGCTTCTCACGGCAGCCAACCAGTACTCCTGGTCGTCCATCCAACCAGCAAACTGGTGACAGAGGCCAAAGTTTTCCTCCTGATGTTGCCTCACTGGGTTTCATAGGCTTACTGCCTCTGTACACGGAGTATCCCTTCGCTCAATCATGGCTAGTAGCCACTGATGGGCTTCTCCTCAGTGCATCTGCCTCATCTACTTTTAAAGCCATCTATGCCACCGGCTGTCATGACATCCACTGGCAGTAAACTCCACAAGCACTTGCTGAGCGAAGTAGCCCTTCTTTTTGTCTGTCCCCTACCTGCCCAGAGAGTCCACTGCAGTTCTAATAACAGACGCTAATAACAGAGGAGAGGGAGGAAAGTTCTTCCTATCCATTCTTTCCACCCACACATAATTTTATAAATTTCTATCATCATGTCCCCTCCTAAGTTTTTGTTCTGAACTGAGGAACTCCAGACTTCTTTCCTCCTAGGAAAGGTGTTCCAAGACACGTTTATACTTGACTGACGGAAGGCTGGAATCAAGCGAACCCAGGCCCTAATACTGGCCCTCAAAGCTTAGATAAACTAACTGTATTTTTATCTTATTTATTTATAACTGTCTAAAAAGAGCTTTCCACTCCACCCAGAGTTTAGGTCAGCGCAAAAAAACAAGTAAAAAACGAGATTGAACATACATAAATGTATACAAACAATTAAACCAA